GTTAAGCGACTGCCTTCTGCCCAGGTCATGATCCTGGAGTCCCGGGATCGAGTCCCGCATCGGGCTCCCTGCTCAGCGGGGGGTCTGCTCCTCCCTCTGACCCTCCCCCCTCTCGTGTGCTCTCTCTCATTCTCTCTCAAATAAATAAATAAAATCTTTATTAAAAAAAAAAGAAAGTTACAATTCCTGAACTCTGAGTTACACGTTGGATGACATCTTGTAAATGTCTCCGGCTGGGTCTTGTTTTTCTGTTAGAGAACTAACAGCCGTAACGGTCACGGCTGACGCTGTGCTCACCCTGTACCAGGCAGTGGCAGCATTGTGTGTGGGAGCAAAGACACTTCGCCTTAATCCCACAGTTGGCGGGGGAGGCAGGACTGCTCGGTCTCATTTGTAGGTGAGTACTCTCAGGCGCGGAGTGACTTGATCAGACGGGAGGCCGAACCAAGAATCCACTGCCACCTACCCTCTTGTACTTGCCTCCATGGGTAAGGCCCCCGGAAGTTTAAGACCTTTCCTGTCTGGTTGCCTCTTCTTTAATCCTTTCTCTTTTCTGAAGTCTCACCATTTTGACTTTTAGCTTGTCATAAATTTGACTAAGTCTCCATCAAAGGTTGTTTTTTTTTTTTAAGATTTTATTTACTCATTTGAGATAGAGCACGAGTGGCGGAGGGGGTGGAGTGCAGGCAGAGGGAGAGGGAGAAGCAGACTCCCCGCTGAGCACAGAGCCTGACGTGGGACTCGATCCCAAGACCTGGAGATCACGACCTGAGCCGAGGGCAGACGCTTAACCGACTGAGCCACCCAGATGTCCCTACAGTGAATTTTTGAGCATATAATTTTTTTCTTAAATTCTACACCAGGTGGCGTGTCTTTTTTTTGAAAGCAGGACCTTCCATTTCTAAGCCAGATGTGACTTGCTGAGGAGCGAGGGAAAGAGCCGTGATGGTTGAGAGGGAGGACAGTACAGAGGAGAGTGACAGCCGGCCTGGCTGGGACAAGCCATCGCTGCAGTAAGCAGCCAGGCAAGGCAGGGAGCAGGTGCACCCCTGGGGCATGGAAGGCTCCCTAAGAAGGCCACGGATGGCCTCTGGGGAAGAAGTCACCACCGTGAACCTGATCTTTGCCCCAGTCCCTCCCACTGGTCTCCTGTTTTGCTCCTGCTTCCCATGCTGCTGATGCTGCTGGTCCGTGGACCACACCTTGAGGAGCAGGGGTATAGACAACGTGATCCCGTGCCCTTTGTAGCTCCTGCAAGTTCGTTGGCATCCTAGCTTCGAATGCGTTTTTCCTTTTATCTGATTTTCGCTAATACTTCTTCCTGCGTGCTGTTACGTTCTAGTATCACAGGACGTTACCCGGTATGGCTCACTGACACTCAGTGCCTAGATCCAGTGCTCAGCGGGCATTCACCATGGCGATCTTCTGTCACTGCTTCATTTGTTTGCTCTACTAATGCTTTACAGAGAAACTGTGCTCCGTCGGCTAGTTGGTCATGTAGTGACACTGTTCATGGTGGATAAAAACATTTTTAAAGGGAAAATTACGAGTTCTCATAATAAAGGGCTGGTTGGCCAGCATGCTCCAAAGCTGATTGTCTAACACTTGGTGGCATCATTATGAACTCATGAATTTAAGCATGTTGCGGGTTTTGCAGCCCGTTGGAGTTAGCGTCCTCACTGATGGTCAGATCCTCCTAAACATTCCCCCACAGGCGTTTACCGTGTTTGTTACAGTTAATCCTACACGTTGTCCCTTTTATTGCCTTTGATGGTGGGTCTTTTTGTCCAGAATCACTTTTCATTATATGACTGACATATATATTAATTTCAGAATATTAATTTTATT